TCTGATTGTGATATCTTGAAATGTATATTTTTACCTTCTTTAATTTTGCTTTTTAATATTCTTTAATCACTGATACTAGTGTGGCTGCCATACAAAGTAAAAATTTTTAAAAAATTTCTCACTGGAATATCTATTAAATAAAAGTATGAACAAATGCACATAATTTGATTTTCACTATAATATACATTTAATTAGCTCCATTTTTACTTATGTGCTATTTAGAAAAGGAGATATATTATTCTGTAATTAAGCTATTTCAGAATATATGGCTCCAAAATGAGCTTGAATATAATATACCTTGATTATAAAATAAGTATTAAGGTTTAACATCATTAAGATAGGAATGTTCATGGGAATAGAATTAATAAGATCTAAAATGTACATGCAGCCAACTATACAAAATACTACTGACAATATTTTAGAAAGATATAATCGAAGATGATACTAAAAGTGTTAATAAAAGAGGAAGGTTATGGGGGGAAAAAGGGACATATGTAATACTTTCAACAACAAAGATTTTTTTAAAAAGAGGGAGGTTACTTTTGTAAAGCATATTTCTGGTCATTATCACCATTTCACATCTTAATTTTGCTATTAAGCATGCTTAATATTTTTCTCACACATTCAGTTCTATATTATTTCTTTTAAAATAAATGTATCTATTAGAGAGGTATTTTCTTTGGTTTTGTTTCTCTCACAAATCTGGATGGCTAATCTAAATCTAAGCACTGAAAAAGAGCCCAGCAATCCTGGTTACTTCAGAATATTTCTAGCTCTTCAGATCACCTTTGTGGTTCCTTTCCGGGAACTGAATCACACTCCAAGTCATACCTTTTAATATAAGAACAGGGTCTATAAAAGTAACAGAGGTAACTTTTTGCTTAGTTTTCCTTCTTCTCATAAAACTGTAATAATATTCAGCTTAGTGATGACCTCACAGTTTGGGGTTTGTGATGGAATAATAGCCATACATTTAAGTGTCATTACTTGACTGAAGACTCATGCTCTCCATCAACAGGGCTGGAATACTTTATTTTAATATTTAGGTATGAACAGAAAAAACTAATTATGGAAAGTTTAAAAACAGAAGGAAAACGTTAACTAATAAATATTCCACCCCACAAAACTACTTCAATGAAAAAAATCTTTATCATAATAAAAGTCACTATGATTTTTGAAAAAGGTCCCCCAGTTACACTAACTATGAAATGAGTATTTTTAAGCCTAAATAATGAGTAAGAGCTCAAAATTATCACCAGCTCTTTGGGTGCTGAATGTTCCATTTCCAAGGAGTCTGGTAATGCTTCTCAGCGTTACCAACATGTTCCCAGCTCTACACCGAGTTTCTAAATTCTGCTTCCTCTTCCTTCATGTCTAATAGAGCTGATGTAAAATAACCTGTCCTCAATAGGTCTACCATCCAATGAGGGACACAAGTGTAACTCTTTATGCATAAACTATAGATTATATAAAATGAGGTTGTTTACTACTTTTATTAATATTATTTTAAATACGTATATCAAGTAGGGACAGTTTTATATTACTACATCTTATAGAAACTGAAACAAGAAAAAACACAATAGACTCTACGTATACCTTAATGAAAATTTACCCTGAACACATACTTGTCGCTCTAGGTCCTGAATTTTTTTGGCATCAGCTGCTTTATCTTTTAAATGTGTCTTCTTCTGAAGAGATGGATTTCCAAATTCAGCTTTCAGTTTCTCAGCCTATCAATAAGTAAAAACATGTAAAGAAGCATATTTAAAACACACCTGGGACACATGAGGAGGAAAGCACAATGGAGTTTATTCATTCGTTTATTAATTTCCAGGCATGGCTCTGTGCTGGCCAGGTGGGGGTGCACAAGCCAAACCAGGTCCCTGCTTTCTTGGTGCTTATGCTCTAGTGGAAGGAGAGAGTTGATAAGCTAATAAAGTAAATTAATAACAAAATAACCTCAGAAAGTGCCTTGAAGGAAAAAAAAAAAAAGAGTGAAGGAATGGGAAGAAAGGGTCAGAGAGGGCAAGGTTGGCAGCTACATTAGATAAGGTGGTCAGGAAAGGTCTTTCTGGGGAGTAGAAATTTGAGCTGCGACCTGAACAAGGAGAGACAAAGGAAAACCAAGGACAGAGTAACCTAGGTGAAGGCAACAAGTGGTGTGAGCTTGGCATGTTCAAGAATCAGTGAGTGCTGTGGGGTGGCTGAGGGAGAGTGGTTTGTGGAAGTGTGGTTCGGATGAGGCTGGAGAGCAGGCAGAGTGCAGACCACGTGGGAACTTGACAGGTCGTGATAAGGAGCTTGGATCTATTTGCAGAATAATCTAAACTAGACTACACATCTAAAAGCAAACCCAAACCAGTTATTTTAATTTAAGGATTTAGAGTATTAATGACATAAGGCTAAGAAAAACTGTTGAATGCAATAGGGTGGACCCACAGAAATACACTCTAAATGATCTATTACCTCAAGTTTGAGCCTCTCAATTTCTTCATTTGCTTCTTTAAGTCGAACTGCATCTTTATCCAGAAGTTCCTGATTTTCCGCATACCACTGTATTCTTTTTTGCAAACGACTAATTTCTTGTTTATGTGTTTCTTCTAAAATTTTTATTTCATATAATTTTTCACCTATAGGATAAAATAACTCAATAACTACTTTTTCAAAATATGAAAATTAAAGATTTTAAATGAAAAACAATGCCTAACTAATGAAAGCATTATGAAAAAATAAGAGGCAAAAACAACTGATGAGATGCAAGGTAGTGTCTAATTTAACTTATTAATAAAGGGAGATGAAAACTGTGTTCTTAATCTTAAATCCTCAAACTGAGCAAAGTTATCTATGTAGACATTTTTGATACATCAATTATCTTCCCACTGACTTTCATTATAAAAGTAAACTTGTGCCCTGACCGGTTTGGCTCAAGTGGATAGAGCGTTGGCCTGGGGACTGAAGGGTCCCAGGTTCGATTCCGGTCAAGGGCATGTACCTTGGTTGCGGGCACATCCCCAGTAGGGAGTGTGCAGGAAGCAGCTGAATCGTGTTTCTCTCTCATCAATGTTTCTAACTCTCTATTCCTCCCCCTTCC